GACCAGGGGACGACGTCACAGCCTGAATTGTAATTTTGGCCGGAATAGGATTTATAGCAGGAATTAGAGTTAAAGTGAGGTTTTGAAGTTCCATGGAGTTTGTGATTTGAAGAACTCATTTTACAGCCTGAATTGTTATTTTGGCCGGAATAGGATTTATAGCAGAAATTAAAGTGAGGTTTTGAAGTTCTATGGTGTGAATTAAGGTATTCGAAGTTATTTCTTCAAAATTATCATTGCTGTTTTCTAAGGTGGACTAGGGTTCCTATTAATTTCAGGCCGTAGACCGAATTAGTCCTCCACAGCAGCTAGCTTAAGATACTCACGGAGTGCAGCCTTTAAGCTAGCTTACAGATAAGGCACCGGGAAGCTATGTTACGGCGGTGGGAACGGTGACTGAAACCGAGTTACGACTTCACTGCCAATAATTCTGACTTCTTTTCTCATTGTTCATTGTGTTACAGTGTGGATTTAGTCCAATAAACATCAGCCTGGAGTCAAATACATTAATGGTTATTTCCTTTAGAGACAAACAAAACGGATTAAAAACCGAAGCGAAAACATTTTAAAAATTTCGTTTTTTATGACAATATATTTTTCCGGAATATATCTATTCCGATAGATGAAAAATCAAAAGCCTTTTTTGTTTCTAGACAAATAAACATACATAAATCAATACAAAACAACCTACTTAAAAATAGTTTAGATTGTATCAAAAAAGTAAATCTCATATTTTATTTATTTGATTCTTAATCATAAACTGCCAACATTTCAGCCATCATATATTTAGTTGAGTCACTCCCGGATTTTCAACGACGTTATACGATAATGCTTTGGAACTGTCATTTCCAATGCCTGTTATGTTTCTAGATAAAACTGGAGACTGTTTTCTTTTCCTAGAATCTGATCAGTGAAAGGCTAAATAATATCGCCTGGAGGGAATATAATCGAACTCAGTTGTAGGCATACAGCTATGACTGAATATATTTGAAAACCGATTATTCAATGGACATATTTGAGGAGCCGAGCCAAGAAGAGGGGACATCATTTAGGACAGATGGGATGTTTTCTGTTAATTCACCCTAAAAAAGATTATTTTTTTTTATTTTGGTGTGAATTAATATTTCGGTGTGATCTGTCAGATACATCAACCTGTGAAATAACTTTAAATCGACTCTTCACACAAACACCCTAAACAATCTATTTAAAAAGAATTGTAGCAACCAAACTGAGCCACTCCAACTTATATATATATATATATATATATATATATATATATATATATATATATATATATATATTACAATAAACGTGCAATCAATTTACAAATACATGAATTATTCACACAAAACTAATGCAAAGGTTAATGATTTTAAATGGCGAGACATCCATCTCGCAAACAATTCAAATATTACACAAAAACCTCAGATCCGTTATGAATGAATTGATCCTTGTTCATATAAATTTCTGCCGTATTAGTTGTTATTTTTACAAGCTTTCGTCTGTTCCTACAGACATCTTCAGGTATATAATAGATGTTGTTCTTGTTTTTTTTCTCTTAGTAATAAGAGGACATCGAAAATATATGTGTATTGTATCCGAAATGCTATTGAAAATGAGATATTGGTTTTTGAACGCGCCCAAAGCAACGCTAAGTTTGATTTTGAATTTTTTCTTTTTTTAAAATGTTTGCGTTTATACCAAATATGGTAATGAACAAATTATTTTACTGGTAAATTTTACTGTCGAAGTGGCATGAACTATATTGTTCAATAATTACAGTAATGTCGCACTTATTAACCAACAGTCGCACATGGATCAGGTATTTAAATTACAATAAACGTGCAATCAATTTACAAATACATGAATTATTCACACAAAACTAATGCAAAGGTTAATGATTTTTAATTTAAATTTTATTACTAAGAGAAAAAAACAAGAACAACATCTATTATATACCTGAAGATGTCTGTAGGAACAGACGAAAGCTTGTGTAAAAATAACAACTAATACGGCAGAAATTTATATGAACAAGGATCAATTCATTCATAACGGATCTGAGGTTTTTGTGTAATATTTGAATTGTTTGCGAGATGGATGTCTCGCCATTTAAAATCATTAACCTTTGCATTAGTTTTGTGTGAATAATTCATGTATATATATATATATATATATATATATATATTATAAAGAGATAATCATACATTGAATCAATTAGCAATATTAATGCAATTAATGGCGAATTCTCTTCGCTAACAGACTTAAACTACTAACAATCCACTGAATTATGCGATCCTTATGTATAAAATCGTTGTCAGTTGCATCTGGTGTATTTTTTATAGAAGCAAGTACTTTCAAGGACTTCATGTTCTCATCATCAAGGTGTAATATTTTCCTTTAAAATCAAATCTCGAAGACGAAATAAATGTGCTTTAGACCGAAAGATGTTCTTTTTAAGAATGTGTTATTTATTAACGGTTATATAATATTGGAATGTCCATGTCGGAACGCTAAAGTTCAAATATTTCAAGTGAGAATTTTTTTATATGAATTTTGTAATTTGGTAAATGCAGAATTAATGGCGAAAATTGTTGTCAGATGGATCTAGTGTATTTTTTAGAGCAGCAAGTACTTTCAAGAACGTCATGCTCTAAAAAAAATACACCAGATCCATCTGACAACAATTTTATACATAAAGATCGCATCATTCAGTGGATTATTAGTAGTTTAATGCTTATATTAAGTCTGTTAGCGAAGAGATTTCGCCATTAATTGCATTAATGTTGCGAACTGATTCAATGTATGATCATCTTTTTATAATATAAAATATATGCTCCCTAATATATATATATATATATATATATATATATATATATATATATATAGAGAGAGAGAGAGAGATAGATAGATAGATAGATAGATAATATTAGTGGAAAATATACATACATATGCAAAATATCTAAATACCCATACATGTATATTTTCAGAAAAAAAATCCCAAGAGGAAGAATCCAGGTAGAACTCAATGTCTAGGACAGAGTAAGGATATAATAAAAAGGCTTAAACACTAATATTCCATGGTCATAATTTATTCCATTGGAATCGTAAATACAATCCAATTCATCAGACCTACAAATTCAAAATGAAAACAAAAACAATCTTCTCTCTCCCCCACCTCTTCTTTCCCTTCCCCTCCCTCTTATTCTAGCATTAAATTGTCTATGGTGTATGTATGTCACCACGAAATGTATCTTTATGCATTAGACATCCGTCGACATTCATTCTCTTCTCTTATTTAAAACCCTTCCCCCCACATCTCCTAAAATTCTCTCTGTTAAGGTTCAATCTCCCTCCTCTTCATATTTACACTTTCTCTAAATTCTGTTTTCACTTCCGGAGTGGGTTTTTTCTGTTTTCATTTTGAATTTGTAGGTCTGATGAATTGGATCGTATTTACGATTCCAATGGAATAAATTATAACCATGGAATATTAGTGTTTAAGCCTTTATATATATATATATATATATATATATATATATATATATATATATATCACATTTCCGAACTGCCGTGCCTGTTAGACATTTCGAATCCTCTGCACTGTTATCAGATTGACACCCAAATACTCTGAAATTTTCGTATTGGAGCCTCTGGTGTGAATGCCATGCAGTACAGCAGACCGTTTCCAGATTTCTGTTGTTGTGATTTGCGTCATGGTACTCTTTCTTTCTCACAGACGGGGTCCAACTGACCCTATTATACTGTGCAGTCAACAAAATAAAAAATAAACAACGCGCATGCGCAAAATTAAAATATAAAAGGACGACAATTTAGCCATCGATTAGAAATTAGTATTAGTATTAGAAATATTTTTGCCGGTTGAGTTTAAAATTATATGTTTCGGTAAATCTCTTGTAGAAGCTAAAAACCAACGAACTAGCGTTATAGCTTGATTGTTTTTTATACCATGAAAATATAGTTTACAAGAAGAATGAGTAATCTAGTCTACGAATCTGGGCGTGGGTTTGAGTCCCACTTCTGAGAATTGTTTTGGGCACTTCGACGTTTTGCTTTTCTCCTCGATCCATTACGTCTGGGTAATGAGTTCGCTCCTCACTGGGTGTCCAACACTTTTGGCCTTCTGCTACATCTAAGCTACGATCAGAGAATAATTTTGGCACTTCGACGTGGTATAATGGTTAGCAATTTTGTCCCACTAGAAGAATTACAATTGAATAGTGACTTCGATTCCCACTGGGGACTCCATACATTTGGCCTTGTGCCACATCTAAGATGCGCTTAGAAAATCAGCATTGTTATTAATCTGATATTTAGTCCACCCCGACATGGTGTTATGATTAGTAAGATTGTCTCGCTAGAACAATTAAGGCTGAGTAGTGAGTTCGACCCTCACTAGGTGCCCTATACTTTCGGCCTTGTGCTGCATCTATCACTATAACCACAAGGTCTTCAAGATTCTCCAATTAGAGTAATAACTCGAGAGGTAATTTGTTTGAGCATTATTACAGATTAGGGAGTTCGATCCTCACTGGGTGCGCCAATGTTAGACCAGTAATTTACTGCAGACACACAATTACAACGTAATATGGTGATTATATGAGCTTGGTTTAGATGTAACACAATACCGAAAGCATGGGACACCCAGTGAGGATCGAATTCACTATTCAGTCGTAATTGTTCTTGTGAGACAACTTTGTTAACCATTACACCACATCGACGTGCCCAAATTGCAATTTAACATGTCATCTTCATCTAATAGTATTAAGATTACACGTACCGATAGATCCACCGCATTTTGTTGTCAAGGTTGAATATATCTGGGGAAAAGACACACCCTTGTCTTTTTTTTATTTGTGTAGCCTGAATAAAGCAGAATATTAAAATATACTATATATATGTTTCATATTCTTATTTTTAGTGATTAAAAGGATGAATATAAGTCTGTAGTTTATACCTTTTATCCAGAAGATTATCTCAAAATGAATCAATTGTATCTTCATAAAAACTGTGACAGAAATTTTAATCATCAAACACTCAAGAAGGGAGAGAAAAATGGCCTAAAATTCGTTAATAAATTGAGTATCTATGTGTATCTCTCTCTCTATATCTTTTCCCGCTCTCCGTCTTTCTCTCCCTCTGTCTTTTTTCTGTCTTTCTCTCTCTGTCTCTTTTTCTCTCTTTCGCTCTCTCTCTATCTTTTTCTCTCTTTTTCTCTCTCTTTTTGCTTTTTTCTCTCTGTCTTTTTTCTTTCTTTCTCTCTTTCTGTCGCTCTCGCTCTCTCTCTCCATCTTTTCTCCTTTTCTCTCTCTCTATGTTTTTCTTTCTTTCTTTCTTTCTTTCTTTCTTTCTTTCTTTCTTTCTTTCTTTGTCTTTTTCTGTCTTTCGCTCACTCTCTCTCTCTATCTTTTTCTCTCTTTGTCTCTCTCTCTCTTTGCTTTTTTCTCTGTGTCTTTTTTGTCTCTCTCTCTCTCTCTCTCTCTCTGTCTGTCTTTTTTCTGTCTTTCTTTCTCTTTTTTCTGTATTTCTCTCTTTCTGTCGTTCTCTCTCTCTCCATCTTTTTCTCCCTCTCTCTCTCTCTCTGTGTCTTTTTTCTGTCTTTCTCTCTCTCTCTCTCTATGTTTTTCTTTCTTTCTTTCTTTCTTTCTTTCTTTCTTTCTTTCTTTCTTTCTTTGTCTTTTTCTGTCTTTTCTCTTTCACTCTCTCTCTCTCTCTCTCTCTCTCTTTCTCTCAGTTTTTCTCTCCTTTGTACGCCATTTATTAATTTAGTACATACATTCGAAAATGGTAAAGAATTCCTAAATAATGAGTATCCAGTCATATATTTCTGGAAGACACCTGTTGGTGTTTTGAACACCATTAGCATGTGTTCGTCTCAAAAGACACTCACGCAAGTTAGATTATTCAGTGCGTGACCAATCTCCTTCTTCCTCATTATGTCTCTTGTACCACATTGTTATTCAACCACCTCTAATATACGTATACTTTGCCAATTTTGGAATTAACTTAAGGTAAGACGTAATAATTAATAATTCTAAGTTGTTCGACTTCTGTCGCCATTATTGTGATTACAAGGATCAGAAAACACAAATCATCATCATCATCATGATCATCATCATGTCTGAAGACCAAGCGTGGTTGTCAGGTTGCTACGCAGCTGAGTGCCTGGCCAACTCTCACTACATGCGTTGGTAAGTATTCATTCATGTGTAGCGTGTCATGCGCAAAGTACACTTGACGGAGCTCATCTGTTCCTATGTCATGCCACAGACAATATTTTTGGACCTGAAGGCTCGCCTTGGCCACGAACATATCACCGTTGATTTCAAATTATAGCTTCTACTAATAAGCTATATATTTGACGTCGGTATCTCCCAAGCTAACCAGCATGTAGACATCCTTATTTATATTGTTTACAGTCCTAAACTTGATTGTTATCACACTGACCTATCCTGAAATGGTTGGAATATGATGGTTACTCTGCCTTGGACCAGAAGGGATTCATATTCATGGTAGTGTTAAGGGGTCCACCCCTTTTGATACAAGTGGACTTGCCCAGTGTGTACTTGTACTGCTGCCGGAGTGATACAGTGAGAGAGTGAGAGTGTGAGGTAACCGCTTTGTAGGAATCACAGTTGCAAACACGTAGACTCAGAAGGAAGTCATACTTCGATACTGAATTTCCCAGACTGTATATATATATATTATTATTGCTACTAACCGCATTTCTGGATCTACTAACCGTATTACCAATTGTATTATTACGTCAATACATTTATTTGCTATATTTCATTCCTGCATTTGTCATTCATTTTGAGACCGGATTTCATCCCAGAATCCACAACAGGTAGTAATATCAATTTGCTCTTTTACGCGAATGTACTATCAATATTCAGAGCAAGGCATTTTCGAATGAGGGTACACTTTTAGCTGACTAATATATCTGTTTGATTTTATAGGATCTGGAATAATTTACAGTCAGACTGTTGTCCTCATCCTTGTTGTTATCCTCATCTAAACTCGTCCAGAAATAAATTAAAGGCGTTTCGTTCCACATAGAATAATGTTGATCACCTTGTCCAAAACATAAAGAGTCTTGTACCCAAATGGCATCAGTTTTAATTCGAATTTCTACGCGAACACACTACCAATATCTTGAGCAAGACGTCTTCGAGATAGACCACACTTTAGAATGAGTAATGTGATTGTCTGACTTTATCAGATGAGGAATTATTTAATTTTTTTTATAATCTTATTGATGTCTTTATCTTTGTTGTTGTTATCACAATATTTCGGCCGTTGTGCTCTATGGCATTCTTCAAGTGTATTTCGATATGGGCAACCTTCAGAAAGTTTGGAACTGATTTTTTTATTTAATCTAAGTAAGTTGTTTTTTCTCTGTTGTCCATGTCTCTGGATCTTATTTTTTTATTTTAGTATTACTCGTCCTGTTTTCACTGAGTCTGTGACTGTACGATTGTGTTACCCGGATTCAACTCTCAATTATTATGCTACCACTGTCATAAGGTAACGCTTTAATACTCTCTGCACCTCCCAAACTCAAGATGACCAGAGCATGAAAGCTGATCTCTCCGCTAACCTCGCTCTAAGAACTCAGTGAGGGGAAAAAAACTGGCTAGTCATATTCAGTGCCTCGAAAACCAAACTCGTGACATTCCATCATCACTGCTCGATCCGTCAACTTTCACCGAGAACAATGAACGCTCACAATGTTCTTTCGGGGCAGCGCCGTGGCAGAAGCACCTATTGGGACTTACACCCAAGCAACATCAAAATTGAACTCGTACATACGATCCATCGCTAAAGATTCTGGAAAAATTGTCTGTTGCCGCTTCAGTAGCTTCATGACCGATCCTGCTATCATTTCCCTTTACAAGACCTAGATGAAGCCGAAAATGGTGTACAGGTGTCATATATGGGCAAGGGTTGCTCAGTCTTCACTTTCTAGTCTTCGCCTCCTTGTCGGGGATGAAATATTTTTTACCCTATAAGCCCATTCTCACAGGTCTCTCGTTGTTCCATCACTCTTTCCAGGAAAGTGTTCAGATGAACATTTCTTAGTTCCACGAGTTCTAATCTTTACGATTTAGAGCCACCATTCCACGCACATTGAAGCGAACAACCTTCATTCTCTTCGTATTCCATTGGTAAGATGTCAGATCCACAAGAGCATCTTCTTTCCACAAACCGCTGCTTTGTGGAACTAACTCTCAAGAGGATGCTTCTCCGATCTCTTCACTATTAATCTGTTCAAGTCTCGGGTGAACCTCTATCTTCCACACATATCTCCATAAACTATGCATCTTACTCTGCAACCCTCTATCTAGTGGTTCTTGGGTCTTGTACAAGTTGAAGATCATTGTAAAATAGAAGTATAATATATTAAACAACGAGTACAGTTTTAGCATTTCTGTAGGTTAGAATAACACTTGCCCCAGGGAGAAGATTTTGTGTATATAAAATGCATTCTCTTCAGATTTTGTCTGCCTCTTTTTTTCGAGTTGTTACAGGCACTCCAACATCACAGGACTAATACTAAGCCGGTTTTGCTTATTAGCTTTAAGTCTGTTAAAAAAAAAATTAATTGTATCAGTCATAAAATGAGAATGTCATAAAACTGTCAGAGATGGCAGTAATAAAATTTCAAATAATGCCTTTTACGGGGTAATTATTATCGGAAATATTTCTTGTCAAAAAAGAGATTACTTGCAAATGTTTTAAAATTAACTTCAGAGAAATATTTTGCGATATAGAAGCCCTATAAATTGATTTGAATTCAAGGGGCCACCCAAAATATTAATATTTATTTAACGTATAATTATAAATACAGGGTGCGATGGATAAATTGCCGTCTAAATGATGCTAAAACAATTACATAAAAATATTTTGAAATACTAAAGAGTGGATTTCAATAAAATCGCCATTGGCTTCAACCACAGCCTCCAGACAACTTCGGAATCTCCTGCATGCTTCTGGATATTCTTGTTTAAGTTGGTGAATGCTGCTATAATCCTTGCCTTTCTTCATCTTTGGTGTTACAAAGAGTTTTGTTGGTCTTTCGCTTAACTGCGCTCTACGCATAATAAACAAGGGGGTTGCATTCTGGGGGAGTCAGGTGGCCAGATATAAAGGTTCGCAGAAATTGTCTGATACAAATGTCTGTGTACTCCTGGTAGTACGTCATGGTTCAGAATCCTGTTGCCAGGCATATGGTCATCTAGCAGCCATCCTCTTGTCCCAGGGCAGCATTACTTCCTCCAGGCACTTTATTTAGGCCTCCATGTTGAGTCTATGGTCCTGTTGGAAGATGAACGGAGGCATAATGTCGCCATCAGTAGTGATCATGCCAAACACCTACCTAATCACCATTAAACTGCTCCAACGCTTTACGGAACCTCTGTACTGTCTTCATATTGACACCTAAACACTCTGAAATGTTCGTATTGGAGAAGCGTGAATGACAAGAAGTACGGCATGCTGTTTTCAAATCTCTGGCAGAGTGAATTGCATCATGGGACTCTTTCTCCCAGACAGTGCCCAACTGACCCTACTATACTGTGCAGTCGACGAAATAAAAAAATAACGCCCATGCACGAAATTCAAGATATATAATGGCGATAATTTACCCACTGCACCCTATATAAATGCTGTATTATTTCAATAATGTTCTTTTATTATCTAATAAACATTGATAACCAATATTTTTTGACTCTCAATATATTTCTATTAGAAGAAAATGCATTTTTATATTAAAATTATATGCAACAAATTTTTATAAGATGATAAAAAAATACATATTTACTGATGGAAGATATTTAAATTCTATATGCCGTGCCTTTTCAGGACGTTGGGGGTCATGGGCCTCCACTATTTTCTGTCCTTTGTAGCTCATAAATAAATTTTGTCCTTTTGGTATATCTCGTAAACCTTGTTCCACAATCCATTTACTTATGCTCACTAGGTAGATTATACGTTGTTTTCCTCTCGCCTTCAATCTGTCTTGGAAGTATCAAATTCTCCAAACCATCTTTCCTCATTATGTGCCATAGAAATTTCAACTGTCTCTTCTTGGTGTCAAGTCATCTTAGGTTCCATATTCTCTAAAAGTTGGTCTTTGCTCACATGTTCGGTCTATGGTATTGTCAGTATCCTACTGTAAAACCTACTTACATTCCTGTTGCTTCAAGTCTCTTCATCCGTGTGAAGATTCTCTAGCATTCAATGCCACATAGGATGACCGATATTTCATAACAGTTCAGTATTTGTTTTTGTTTCTAACGAAACGCTTCTATTTCTTAGTATTTTGCTTAGTTTTTGAAAGGCATTTTTCTTTATCCCAATGCGTCTTCGGATTTCAGTGTTGCAATTAATGTTTTGTCCTTTCTTCTCACTTTCCTTCCCCACCTTCTGTCGGAGTTCTTTTATTTTCCTTTCCGTGTCTGCTATCAACACAGTCATCTGCATATCTTATGTTAAGATTGTGGCCGCTTATAATGAATCCTGATAGGAATTCTCTCTCGGAATCTCTTGCTGAATAATCCGTTGAGAAGACCCTTCCTCGTCTTACGCGCCTTTCTATTTTAGTATATTTGCCGAATTAATTTTTTATCCGTATGCAGGCGGTTTGCTTCTAGTTTTAAGTTCTAGTTTAGAAACACATCTATAAGATGACCCCGTCCACATCAACAGTTATGTTACTCTGGAATCCTTAGGGGTTTCTGGTTCATCGCAGAATGCAAATGGCTTTAAGACATTTTGGAACTCTAAAAACCACAAATCAGCTTTCCTCCAATCAAATGGAATATTCTAATGTCCTTCCTAAGTTTCCTAACAGTTTCATCAAAAATAGCCATGCATATTTTGGAATGAACGTAAGTGGGTGGTATATCTTCTGATTCTTTTCAAAGTCTTTTTTTCATCCGAGTACACTCTCTGTGTCAAATGAGCATTCCTACTGTAGGGGATCAGAAGTGTTTGTGTAAGGAAAGTTGAACAGCGCTAAGTACGCCTTGAGTACTTAGCGCTGTTCAACGACGTGGGAAGATGATGCGTTGTTACAAGATCATGCTTCATGCTAACATGCTACTTACTAAACAACATGTTCAACATCATCTCTGCCTTATGTATAGAACATAGTAGAACGACGCATGCCTTGTATGGTTAGCCCATTTTTAACTCTAGCTGTATTGCATCAACAGGTATATCAGACGTGGAATACTGTCACAGAAAGTTAGTTGCTATATTCGGTTTGCTCCGCATTAAATAATTTCCGGCTGTCTCTTCGCAAAGGTTTCTGGGACAATGTTAGAGATCCACTTATTATGAGTTTTTTTTTTTTCATTTTTTTTACAACATTTCGCCATAGTCTTTATAACCGTTTTATTTATATATTCACCTCGTCATGTTCTTATTTATAAATGCAGTAATTTGAGTTGGCATCGATTCAACAAATGGTTGGAATAATGCTGGAGAGTTACTGAACCGTGACGTCTCGATAGATAGCTATAGTTCTCTGATATTTGTAGGCGTATAATCTTGCGTGCGAACAGATCTTTACATGACATCCAATATATGCTCTATCTTCCCAGGATACAGATCAGACCAGAGTATTGCTGGTTCTGTTCCATCTGCGTTAGATTTGTCCAATTCTCACTTGTATGTCTTGATAATTAAAAAGCGTCTACGCGACCTTGTGGATGACGAATTATTTTCCACTCTTCAACATCTTTACCACAGACGAAACTTTGTGAGCATCTCGTTGCTCTATCGTATTTTCCATGGCATATCCTGACGAGCGACATTTGTTAATCCCATCACCCCTGATCTTTACAACTGGGATACACCCTGCCACGTACACAAGAATGAATCATCCCAATTCTCTTCGTATCCCAATAGTAATAAGTAAGTTCTATTTGGAGACATTCTTCCCAAGAACTTCTCCGTGGAACTTTGTGATGTTTTCCCAATCAATACAATCTTCAGTTTTAGGGTTAACTTCATGCATAGGCCCATGAATTTCACTTCTTGTCCTTTCTTGCATTCATACAACACAACACAATAATCATCTAGCTTGAATGGCTCTTGGGACTTGTATTATATGAACATTTGTATAAAGAGATTATCTTTTTTAGAAAATCTTCATAAAAATATTTTTTTTTTACATCTGCACTCCCACTTACCTCATTTCATGAAATTTCGATAAATCAAATTCTGATCGCAAAGTTTGTTTTTTATTAGTTAAAAGCAGGACTCTTCGGAGAATGTAAATAATCCATTTTCTTTTTTCAAACAATTACTGTTTTCCCGATGATCTTCTTCGAATAGTAAAATAAAAAATGCAATAAAACTGTGACATTATTTAATTACACAAGCTTTTAATTGCTTTTATAAATAATATATATTAAAGGCATTATAACGCGAAGAAAAAAATTCTTTTCGATCAATAATGGATTTTTACAAGAATTTAAAAAATTATTTTTTAATTATAATGATTTATAAAGTTTCAAAAATCTTTTTAAAATTCTTCAGAATTTTGATTGAGTTAGGTGATATTTTTATTAAGTGAAAACTATATTTATTATTCAAAACTTTAAAAGCTTAATAAAAATCATGATACAGTAAAATTTTTAGAATATTTTATTATTTTTATGTGTATAAACGTTCTAATTTTTCTAAGTACGCTAGTTCATAAATGCCAGTAAAAGCTCAGGTGTTTTAAAGGTTGTCCACCGACTCACGGGAAAAAAACCTCATACAGACTTGCAATTCTGCTCCACCATACTTTAACTCGTTCGGCTCTCAACAAATCGATCATCATGTCAAAAAAACAAAACCACATAGTTAAAAAATGCTTGTATACAACATTTTATGCTATAAATAAGTAATATTTATTTCAAATCAGATGAATTTAACTTTGCATTTGTTAATTTTCCCAAAATAACGTTTCAGAAATATATATTTTATTTTTGCAAGATTTTTAAAATTGAGAATTAACTTTTGTTAGCAAATGTGACAAAATGGCCGATTTTATCGATTTTATTTGAAAAAATCAATTCCAATCAATATAATTTCCGTTTGGGTTACACCATAGAGCATTTTGCTTACTGGAAATTTACATATCCCGAATTATCGTGGAGTTACCTACATTTTAGTTGTCCCCAATCACGATGTACATCTTCAGACAGGGGACCACCTTTCGCAGAACATTTGTAGCGCAAAGCAACGTCAATTTCTGAAACGGTGGAATTCATCTTTCTCTGTCGTATCTCCTCAAGACATAGGCGATCCCGGCTTTCCACAACTTCCTGTCCCCTGTAGTTTTTAATAAACGTTCTTTCTGTTATTTCTTCTAAACCCTGTTCCGCCATCCATTTACTCAAATTCACTAATGCGTTGTTTTTTTGCTCTGTCGCTCTTGCTCTTAGTCTGTCCCGTGAGTATCAGATTTTCCAAGCCCTCCGTCCTCGCTATATACCTCAGAAACCTCGACTGTCTCTTCCTAGTGTTAAGTACTAGTTTCATTTTATTTTACATTTTCACGAAAACTGAGTCGTTACTCACTGTATCCTCAGTATCCTTCTGTAGAACGACATTTCTGTGGCTTTCAGGCTTCTCACTGCCATACAGAAGGACTGATATCACATTGCAGTTTAGTACACATTTCCTTGTTTCTAGCGAACTGTTCCTATTTCTTAATACTCTGCTTAGGTTTTTGGAATCCTTCCCAATACGTCTCTGGATCTCAGTGTCGCTTCTTACATCCTCTGTTAAAACACTTCCTAGATATTTACATTTCCACAGTATTGGGATACTAGACATTATTCTGATTCTCTCAATGTTAGATTTGCTCATTAATTAACTACACCAGCAATAATCCGTGACTTAGACTGGGGATCAAGTAACACAATCTTCACAGTACAGCATTTTCATTAATTCTGTTTAGATGAATGGGCTTGACTCTTTTCCGCATTTCAATTTCTCCATTCGTCTTCGTATATTCTTCAGGACAGTTTCTGACACTCCAATAACAACTGCTACGACTGTCACAAAATGTTTCGTAACTTACTCAGCTTCTTGTAAAAGGTTGTAATTTTTATCCATGTTAGGAAACCTGATGACAAAATAAAAAAAGAAACTAAACGAAATTAACTCGACTAGATAACCAAACATCTATTATAAAAAATAGTTAAAAAGTTTAAAATTTCAGTGTTCCCTCTCTTTTGTGCATATGTGTAGTTGCATTTAAGTAAACATCACTTAAGTCAGATGAAGTCTTAAAGGACGAAACACTTTACGTGAAAATGTTTTTCGCGTTGACATTAATTTTCCTATCATTGTAGCATATAGAAATGTATCTATTATTGTCTTCCATACTTATTAATCGTTTCCATTTTCTTTAGATATATTCTTTTTTCTTGTTTATACCTACAAAAACAGTTCTTCTCAGAATCTCTGTTTTTTTTTCGCGCGGACAAATCCTGGATGTTCAGTATTATTAAATAATGGAACCAATCGTTAGAAAATATTTAGCTTGGTTTAAAGCAAATTGAAAAATATGACCCTGTTATATAAAAGCTGTTAAAGAGTGAAGCCTTCATTTTAAAGACAAAATTGAGTTTCAGTGTTCATCAGATTAATTTCTCTTCTGTCTGCTGTCAAATATTAGTGACCTTTGGTTCTAACGGAATCAAGAGAAATAAATTAAGACTAGGCGTCTCGCTTAAAATCAATCGACCGTTTTTGTAGATTGTTATTCCAATGATGACACATTTGACAGTCGATAAGTCATAATGAAGAACTGGTCGTCTATTCAGTGCTACCAGTAATTTGGCACTGATACTTATACATCTCTTGAATCCATTTTTGATCAGCAGTTTTTCTTTCGTTCCAGCTTTTTTCTTTTCATATTCTTTCTTTTTTGCGACATTTTTTTCTTTATACATTTGTGGCATCAAGAAACAACAGCTGTTAATACACCTTTCTTCCTTCTTTAATCAATTTTTCATTGAGAAATGCCGTAATTTTATATCAAATTATTTTTTGTTAAAAGATGCTAAAATATATTTCTTCATCTATCTATATTTCTGTGATGAGATGTAACTATCTACACTATGTACATTGTTTGGACTATTGTCTTCATCTTTACTGTCATATTTCGCTCGTTGTACGCTTTGCGGTTCTTCAGGTAATATTCGTTGGATTTTCAAACCGAACCTTTTATTCTGTGGCTAGATATCGAACTCACAACTCTTTTATCCACTGGATAAAGATCTTTGTCCATGGGGATGTTACAGTTTTTTGTGTATATGTATATATATATATATATGACTAGTGAGTTGGTCCAAATGCCTTGACTCGCTTTATAGTCTACCAATAGAAGGTTAACCTATCAGAAGACGCAGAACATTTTATCCGTCGTGTATAAAGGCGACCACTTTTGTTTACCCTACCCGAATGACCAGTGCCAACTTGTCAGGCGAAGATGAACAGAAGGAAGTGCTACGCTCTGCTACTTTGCTGCGATATCCACTGCTAACCTGAACTACGCTTTCCTACTGTCTCCGAAATATTCACTGCTAACCTCTGGATTCTATACTCGAAGACGACCGTCATAAAATGTCTAACAGGGGACACATGGCCCAGTGGATAAAATCGTTGGATGAAATAAGTCACTTGACTTAAAGAGTTGTGAGTTCCATGCATCGTAACAGCAGAGGTGAATAATACTTGGAGAGTTGAGTTACTAAAGGGAAGTAACTGAAACTAAGATATCCAAAAAAGGGCATGGCACGTAGAAATAGAACAATCTACCCCTATAGACTGAATAAAGGTTTCGGTTCGAAATTCCAACGTATATAACCCGAAGAAGGCCGGAGCGTACAATGGTCGAAACTTCGTGAATATGACAATAAAAGTGAAGACAACAGTCCGAACGATAGAAATATGACAATATTTCTTAAATTTTATTTTGTTAAGTCAGTCACTCGTTAAATTCTTAATACAATTTGCAAATTCCCTAACATAAAGAGAAATTTATTCCTCAAAAGTTGCAGCTGACCTGAACATTTTGTAAAGTGCCTAATCCCTTAAAGATGTAGGCGATCCTAACTCTCCACAAATTCCTTTTCTTCATTATCTGTCAATTACTATGCACTCATAGGTAAGATAGTGGGAGCCTTCGCCACTGTTTAGAATTCAGTGTTTTCCTTCTCTTAGACTTGTTTCCACCAAATTTCTAGAGAATCCAGCTTATGCTGCTATGTATCTCATGCCCGGAGAAGAAGTGATGGATTCAGTCATTTCCGAATGAAATTGGTTCGAAAATAAACGCAATAGACTCAGACTGAAATTGAACTCCTCTCACTGATTCCATTTACTGAGCTTTAGATGTATTTAGAAAATAGAAATATTAATTACCGTATAGACTCGTGTATCATGCGACCTCTGAAGACCTAATTTTAAAGGTAATTTTAAGGTGGTCGCATCATACATGAAGTATAGAATTACCGTATATACTGCTACTACTACAAACTACATAGCCATTTTCTCTAGTCAAAAAAAAAAAAAAAAAAATACAGCTGGATTTAAAATCGACATTATTTTGATGAAACTGATGTTTTACTGAACGGTATCCAATAGAAATGCATGCAATCTTCACATATTAGTATCGTATTATAAAATACAAACATAAGGAATATGTATCTTTTCCATTGTTTACGTTTATAATATGTTTAACTGTTACTTGTTTGGTTTTTTATGGCTGTAAGCGTTTACGGAACGAGTATAGCGTTACTAACGATACTTTTATCATTCTCTTGTACTTTTTTAAAGCTTATTTAACTAGAAGATGGGATAAAGAGATCGAAGAAAAGAGGTTAGGCTACTGTAATTTGGTCTCCGAAAAAAAAAAAGCATCTTGTGTGTTATACGAGATATATGATAAAATCAGTCGTTATAATTGAAAATTTGGGGGTCGCATGATACGCGAGATCGCGCGTTACAGGAGTATATATGGTACATTAAATTACAAACAAATTTCAATAGTGATTCTAATATCCATGAATAGTTATAATGATTAATTATTAATTATAATGTTTAAATTAATGAAGAAAATGAAAATATTTAAGATTAATTAATTACAATGATTAATTTTTTTATTCTTGCAACACGTAATAAACAAATTTCAATGATAATCGTTAATTAAATGCTAACTGTTTAAGTTATAATGCACGTTTTCTATTCATTTTTTCATCAGGAAAGGAAATTCCTCTTTCAGGCATTGAGGATAACTCTCATTTAGTGTGAGCAGTAACTTCTTTTTGTAACCTGAAAGATAGAGGAGTCCTTCGTTCTGAGTATAGTGTTGCTGCCTCACAACTTAGAAAGTATAATTTACAGCGTAGATTTCTCAGTCCTACGATGAACTGGTTTATATTTAGATTTATATTTCTCCTAAACTAGATACCAATCAAGCCTAGAGAGTTCAGTTATTTAACCCATAGATAGGGAAAGAAGAAAGGTATGAATCAGTTTCGTTTCACTTTTAAGGGTGTTTGAGAGTAAGTTTATTTGAACTCGACATGAGAATTTCACCTTCCGCGCCGATAAAGCTACACATTCTTTTAATATTAATGAATACTGTGTAGTAACAATAAATAGTATGAGCTTTGTTTTCTGTGTATCAATGAATAACAATTGAATTTTTAATATATCCACAAATGTGGAACGAAATTATAAGTATGAATAGTTATTCAGAACTATAAAAAAATATTAAGTGTTTGAAATTTCAGAAAGCAATAATTATTATTGTACTCATTTTGTTTACACATTAATGGCTAGCGAATCGGAGGGGTGAGTTCGAATTCCAGTCGAATCCATTACGTGCTAATACCCTTGGGAAAGGTATGAATTCTTTTCTTCAACAACTATATAGTAACTGGATGGCAACTTGGATGGAATCTGGTTTTTTCCGCGGATAGAAATGACAACCTACTACAGAAAAAAAATCTGCCTCGTCAGTCATGTATCGTAAGATACATGATCGCCTAAGCGTGTATCACGCATGGGACTTAACTGAAGTAGCTAGTGACTTATACTGCAGACATCAGGTGTCCCCAGTACTCGCCTCTGTATTTTAGTTGTGTTTAATTTTGGTTTGGGTGATCTCTATTCATTCTAGTAAATCCTCTTCTTTCAACATTTTGGCTAGAATCTGTAGAACTGTTCCATCCGCTTCTGCTACGGGTGTTGTACAATTCCCGTCATATTCTACAATTGTTTCTCTTGATTGATTGGCTTCGAAATTTCGATTATTTTAGCCGCTAAAGTGTGTACCATTAGATGTATATAAAACCTTTTGCGCTGAAAAGCTAGTTCTTTTTTAAAGTGACAGATTGATTGATTGATTTCATCGATTTGTTTGTGACAGTTTATTAATCCTTTGTTTCTTATATAAATCCGAAACACATTTTTTGTAGAAGTAAATTCTCTGTGCCGCGCCAGGAAATTTTTCTCCCCGGAATCGATACTTCAAATATACAAATCAACCATTCGCCCTTGCATGGAGTATTGCTGCCATATATGGTCTGGGGCACTTTTTGTTTACCTCGGAATTCTTGACAAGATCCAAAGACGGATATGTAATATAATTGGCCCTGATCTGGCATCTCGTCTTCAGTCACTCTCTCACAGACGCGCCGTCGCCTCTCTCTGTCTTTTCTACAAATACTTTCATGGTAATTGCTCCGATGGGCTGCTTTCACTGGTTCCCAGACTCCATGAATCCAAGCGCCCTACGAAGATGGCATCCCACTCTCACCCTTACACTGTAGAAACTTTTAAATGTAGCCGTCTCTTCTAATAGCTTCATACCTCGCACCTCTCGCCTGTGGAACACCCTTCTCAATTACTGTTTCCCTGAGAGCTATAATCTCCAACTGTTCAAATGTAATGTCAATCGACATCTCCAGTTACCTTGATCTACCCACTATCCCTCTCCTCATCCTTTCTTCTATCTCTCCTATCTGATCTCGCTCCAAATTTTCTGCAAACCCCTGCATCCTAGTGGCTTCACGCCTTGTTCGGGGCATAATGCTTAAAAAAAAAAAAAAAAAAAATTAATTTTTCTGTGAGTGAATACTGCAGTAACATTTTATATAGATAAACAATCCTTTTCCCCAGATAAATTTCCTAGAGTCTAACTCGTATAGCAATTTTCCAAGCGTAGCTCAGATGTGGCACAAGGCCGAAAGTATGGGACACCCAATGAGGGGTGAACAAAAAAATTGGAGAGTTGAGTTAAAAGTTAAACTGGAACTAGAAGAAGAGTTTGTTTCGAAATTCCAATCACCCGAAGAAGACCGGAACGTACAATGGTCGAAACGTTGTGAATATGGCAACAAAGTTGACGTCAACAGCCCGAACAATGTAAATAGTGTAAATTAGAATGGTTACTTATTTTAGTGTACTATAGTTATTCTATAATTAGAATGGTTACTTATTTTAGTGTACTAAAGTTGGTTACTTATTTTAGTGTACTATTTTACTTAGTTATTACTACGTAACTCAAAGAACAGTCAGTGCGTTATTTAAACAAATTAGACGTAATCTGACAGTGCCTTTATATAGCCATTTTCACTTATATTATTGTTAACTGAGAAATTTCATATTTTTGTAACATTTTATTCAATTGAAGATAACTTTTAAAAAAACGTTTCTCTCCGTTCATTTCAATGGAGATAAAAATGGCAGCAATTTCTTCTCAATTAAATTGTCCAGTGTCATCATCTTCAGAAGATTAAAAAATGAAACATGACGGTGGAGGCGAAATCCATGGCATTTTAAGTAAAATTTTGGTTGGAAGTGTTGCAGGATATTATTATTTTTTCTACAGAAGTTTCACCATGTACAAGCCCCAAGGGTCACTCGAGATAGAGTGTTACGTTAAGGAACAGTTTATACGGATAGGAGGGGAAGATAACGGTTAACTCTAGGCATGAACGGGCTAAGATTTTAATGATCAAGGAAACATTCTTTTGGGAGTCTGTTCCACAGAGCAGTGGTTCGCCGGAAGAAACTATTCGAGCGGAACTTACATCTCACTGATTAAATACGGAGGGAGTGTGGATAGTTTACTGCAATGTAGCAATTTTCCAAGCGTAGCTTAGATGTGGCACAAGGCCGAAAATATGGGGCACCTAGTGAGGATCGCTACTCAGTTGTAATTGTTCTTGCGAGACAAACTTGCTAACCATTACACCGCCTCGATGTGCCAAAGTCTAACTCGTGATGGAAAAACTATATTTATACTATTCCTATGTTTATTTGAGAGTAAGTAAAAATGAACTGGACTAGAATTTGAACTCGGCTCTACGATTTTTCATTTGGAGCTGCTTCCCATTACACCATCTGCACACCCACTTGAAGTTACAGAATAAAATAATGGCAGAAGACGAGTGAAGCTCAGACAAAGACAGAGGACAAAATTTAAACTCACATGATTTCTTTATATCAAATACAAAGGTCAAGAACCACTCAAGGTAGAGTGTCACTGAATGAGTTGTGTGATATGAATCTAGGAGGATGGAACGATTATGAGGATGAGGAGGATAGATAATGATTGACCCTCAACTTGAATACACAGGAATCTATTCAAGTAAGTCGTAGTTTTTGGGAAAAGCTGTATGATTAGAATTTTCGCCTTAAATTTGGAATACAGGGGGAATCGTCTCCGTGGATATAATATGGTGAGTTTTAGCTGTGCAGATCTAAACTGGTAGATCTAAATAGTGGTCCTCATCTGCATATTTTTCATGGAAATAGAGATTTCTTATATCTATTAGCTGAGATACTTAAAATGATTATTTCGTTACTTATTTTATAATTTCCCCACTTTCTCATCGCCATCTTGTAAATTCCTTGTGCCTTTTCTCTAAATATTTTCATGGTAATTGTGCTGATGAGATTTCCTCGACTTTACAAATTTAAACCGAGTACTAGATTGGCAGTTAGGTCTCATCATTTTACAGTTGAACAGGCCTGACCCATCTGAAAGATTAAACATACATCGAAAATGGAAATGTAATTTCTAACTGAATTTCCTTTTACATTGACTCAATTGCTAGGACGGCTGCAAGGTCCACAAGTGTCATGGTAGACATTTTTTTCCACCAGAATTTATCTGACACATTTATAAGTCTACCATTCATTCTACCATACGACCGACCTTTGAATATTGCTGCCACATCATTTTTGTTCTTCTGCTATGTATTTAGAGATTCTTGGTGAAATCCAAAGAAGAATTTACAAACTCATCGGTCCTCACCTTACAAGGCAATAAAGCCACTGAGACGCATGAGGTTACTCAGTATGAAAGAATGAGAAAAAGAAAACAAATTAAACAAATTTTTGTTGTCTTACAATTTCAACCGTAAAACGATAATACCTATCTGCCAATCATCTAGTACTTACCTTGCTTGGAGTTAACTTATCTATCTATCTATCTATCTATCTATCTATCTATGGAATAAGACATGCAGAATGAAATGGACGGCAACGGAGGCCGTTGATATAATTATGACTGGCGCCTTCTGTCATGTGTAGTTCTCTGAATCCGCGGGTTCAACCGTTGAGATCTGTCATAATCATCCGCTTGTTCTATCACTAGGGTCTTTAGGTTTGGTCGCACTTAGTCTGAGTCTTTGTTTTCGACCTTGCCTCCAAGGGTGGCACTAACAGGAATTTAGATCTCTCGATAGCATCGCTCTTAGAGTCATTGAAATAGGAAAGCCCCTTCACTACGACAAGGAGCCACCGTCAGGGGTAATAGAAATATACGACACCAATATATACACTATTTTGGTAAGTTTATAAATAAATAAGTTTATATCACTGCCATAGTTGGGCAATTTTGTGACAGCTTTTAACAAAAGTACACTTTCTGTTGAGGCCCAGAAGTATGGCAGTGGTATAAACTTTCGATACATGACTGACGAGGCAGATTTTTTTTCCCGCAGTAGGTTACGATTTCTTTCTGCGGTAGACCAATTTCCATCCAAGGCTATAGAACCCGGTCTGTCCTGCTATTTTTCTATAGCTGGGTAAGGGGGTAGAAGAAAAGGATCCATACCTTTCCCAAGGAAAGGTATTTGTAGCTTTAACTCGACAGCCGCATTTTAAAATGTCTCTATTTCTTTCGCATCAACTTACGCAGCACATATTTCTATTAAGCGCGTTACTTAAAACGATTAGTTCGTGACTTGTTTCATAATTTATGCAAAAACAGTGGGTGGATTAGTGCGTTCGTTAAATGGGTTTTTCAAACATTATAAAAGTCGGTGAAAAGCAGTAAATCGAATGTCATAAACTAGAAATGTGGCAAATTTATTATGAATTCAATTTAAATTAGTGTGCCAACATTTCGGGACCACATGAGTTCTGCATTTATTTTCTTCTTATGACGACATTCATACGTAATTTTTTGTCCTTTCTTGGTGTATTTGTCTTCCAGTCTGTGGTGATTGCGAAATAATAATAACTCCTTTCACCCATGCCCTTCAAATGCGGAGGACTGAAGTACAAGAGGAAAAAAAATCGAGAGCGAAATTGTTTTGGGACCAATGAAAACCTTGCCGTTACAGAAATTAGCCGGTGTGACACGAAGAAGTTAAAAGTAGCGAGACTATGTGAAATTATTTTAGATATAAAATGAGGAGAAAATTAAATTAATAAGAGAAATGTGTCTGAAGTCATGTGAAAGGTTTCGTTTTTGTTAATCGTGACAAACTTTGAAATCCTCGCAGTTGTATAAAATGTGTAACATTATCACCAATTATATTATCAGCCTTTAACGAAACACGCGACAAAAATTCACTAAGTATTTCAAACTATCTCTCTTCGTCTAATTTTGAAAGTATGCAAACCATATACTCCACATCAGTGAGTAATGAACTCTTTAACCTTTGCCTCAAGCATTTTTTAATACTATTTTGTCAGATCATTTAATATGTTGTATGAACATTTCCTCTTCATGACAATGCGTTAAACTTTAAGAACTTTAAGAATAGCGATTTATTTTCTTGAAACGAGATACTGACACTACTTCAAGCGCGTAAATTCGTGAATAAATTTCTTTTTTTGCTAAAATTACCCGTTTCCTCGTCATTATCATCCTTCATTTGTCTTCTTGGGGTGAATAAATCAACTGTTCCTTTTAACTTCTACGCTACTATAAGTCCACTTCCATCGTCTTTCTCTCTCTCTCTCTCCCTCTCTCTCTCTCTGTCGGGCGGGATGTTGCGAGTCTCTCACTGCTCTACCGCTAATTTCCATGGAAAGTGCTCGGACGAACTACATTCCTTGGTTCTGCCAGGTCTAACTTTCGCGACGAGGACCGGCCATACCACTTACATTGCAGTAACTGGGCACCTCGAGGTGGTGTAATGGTTAACAAGCTTGTCTCGCTAGAACAATTATGACTGGATGCCCCATACATTCGGCCTTGTGCCACATCTGAGCTACGCTTGAAAAATCACTATATGGGCACCTCGGCGTGGTGTAATGGTTAGCAAGCTTGTCTCGCTGGATCAGTTTGAAAAGTGAGTTCGATCTTCACTGGATGCGCCATACATTAGGCCTTGTGCCACATCTATGCTACGCTTGGAAAATCTTGGGCGCTTCGAGGTGGTGTAATGGTTATCAAGCTTGTCCCGCTAAAACAATTATGACTGAGTAGTGAGTTCGATCCTCACTGGGTGCCCCATACTTTCGGCTACGCTTGGAAAATTGCTACATTGCAGTAAACTACCCACACTCCCACCGTATTTCATCAGTGAGAAGTAAGTTCCGCTCGAATAGTTTCTTCCGGCGAACCACTGCTCTGTGGAACAGACTCCCAAAAGAATGTTTCCCTGATCATTACAATCTTAGCCCGTTCAGGCCTGGAGTTAACCGTTATCTTCCCCTCCTATCCGTATAAACTGTTCCTTAACGAAACACTCTATCTCGAGTGGCCCTTGGGCCTTGTACATGGTGAAACTTCTGTAGAAAAAAATAATAATATCCTGCAACACTTCCAACCAAAATTTTCCTTAAAATATCATGGATTTCGCCTCCACCGTCATTTTTCATTTTTTATTCTTCTAAAGATGATGACACTGGACAATTTAATTGAGAAGAAATTGCTGCCATTTTTATCTCCATTGAAATGAACGGAGAGACACGTTTTTTTACAAGTTATCTTCAATTGAATAAAATGTTACAAAAATATGAAATTTCTCAGTTAACAATAATATAAGTGAAAATGGCTATATATAGGCACTGTCAGATTACGTCTAATTTGTTTAAATAACGCACTGACTGTTCTTTGAGGAACGTAGTAATAACTAAGTAAAATAGTACACTAAAATAAGTAACCAACTAATCATTCTAATTTACACTATTTACATTGATCGGACTGTTGACCTCAACTTTGTTGCCATATTCACAACGTTTCGACCATTGAACGTTCCGGTCTTCTTCGGGTGTTTGGAATTTCGAAACGAACCCTTCTTCTAGTTCCAATTTAACTTTTAACTCAACTTTCCACTTTTTCTGTTCATTCCTGAAGTGGCCAGGTATTGAACACATAACTCTTTGTGTCAAGACAGTGGATTCAACCAAATATTTTATCCATTGGAAAATATATGTCGCCCTCAAGGCTCTTCCTGGTCGTCCAAGATGTCCAACACCCAAGCTCTTTTCGGTCCAGGCCTTGCCTTATCCCACGTTATCATTTGCTTTGATCATAAGGTAGGCCAAGATCAAATTGTCGTCAGATATCTTTGTATTGTGCTGGTCCGAATGGGGTGAAGTAGCAAAGAAAGAAAAGAAAAGAAATATAACATTCGAAAAAAAAAAATTGATTTTTATGTCAAGTCTTTCGTACAACAGTTGGTTAATTGATGTTAAAGTCCAGGAGTTTGCATGCAGACGATTATCGACCCAACCTGCTTCTAAGTCAGTCGTAACACTTTGTTGACTTGGTAAAGTTTGTTTTGCTGACTTGGTGAAGTTTGACACAAGGCTGGTGTCGTAGGTTCTCGTTGTTAGGTAATCACATGTGGTGTCTTGGGTCCGGTAGCTAGAACGATCTCTGTTTCTCGTCTCGAGGTATTCATATTTACTGACGCTTACCTAAAACCGATGTGGGAACGAGATACGGCGATGTATTCAGTATTTTCTCTACCTGTCACAAATAACACTTTATCTATTGTTGAGTTCTGATAAATTAATTGCTTTCCAATTTGGAAGTCTTACTCTATCCTCGAGTGACTGTCGCAGGCATCAATCCGCCTCACAACTTCTTCCTTCTCTTTTTAGAATCTCCCACTAACATTCCCCAGTGGGCGTGGATAGCTCCTGCACCATCCATCAAATGTCAAAAAAAAAAAAATTACCATATGGCCGGTTGTAAAACTGAGTGTTGTTTTTAGCTAGCCGTATGTTTCTTGGCTTTTGAGAAAATAAAAATCTTTAATCTTTTTCACAGTTAACTTTTGGTATATCTTTCCTTCTATCTAAAAGAAAAAAATCATTATTTACCAGTAACAAATAGTGTCACATATAGACTAATCATTTTATGTTCTCAGAATATCGTTGTCTATTTTCTCCTTAATTTTTCTGTAATGTAATCAAATTGTTTGCGATTCTTCAGGATAATTGCAGTTGTTCTCATTTTTTTACAAGGCAGTTTGAAACCTAGTCTCAGGAATGCAAACTGCTACCTTCATATTACCTACGAGCAGCATGGCCCGGCGTTGCCCGTGCTTGATTCAAAAATCGTACGACTCATACAGCAATTTTTATCACTTGACTTAAAATATTTTTGCCCTTCCTTGCCTTGAAAGGAGTGCCCTTTGCCGTGCTGATGTTGCTACATGACTTACTTCTTGCCTATCTCACACTGTGAATTTTTTCTAAGCTCTATACTAAACATTAAATCTGTTACGAAAAAAGAACTAAACAAAATGAACGCAAAACGATCAGCTTTAAAAAAAGGACTCGTAACTGGAAAAACCGAATGAAAAAAGAATGTTAACAACAAATACTTTTTCACACCCAACCCAGTTCTGCGGAATCAGAATCAACGTTGAGTTTAAGCAAGCGAATGAGCTAATTGGAGTAAAGTGCCATGCAGATTTAAATTGTTTAAAGTATATTCGATGAAGCAAGAAATGTCAGCTATTAAATAAATGTGTTATCTGTTGAGAAATAAGCTGATATTTCCAGAACTAAAATGGAGAACATCTGTCTATTTCTGAGATGAGGTATTGTAACTAAAGAGTGTTCCAATAACTTGAACCGATTTTAAATTTAATTCAATTTAAAATCAGTCCAACTTATTGGTACACACTTTATTTACAATATTTTCATTTTTCCGACTGTTATCCTCATCTTTATTGCCATGGGGTTGATTGTTCTAGTTCCACGTGCCATGTCTTTTCTGGATATCTCAGTTTTGGTTATGTCCCTCTAGTAACTCATCTCTGCAAGTTTTTTTTTTAT